TGTATTTTCAGAGTATTCCTGACCCAGGAAAATGTGTACACACAGCTCTTAGCTGTCAAAGTAGTCAAAGCTGTGCTGCTAGCTGGCAAAGATTGCCTTCAACAAGACAGAACAAAACTTAAAGGTAGGAAACAGCAAATAAGATTCTCAGGGATTGCTCACAAATACTACAGTTGTAGCTTTTCTAAAAAATTACAGGAAAAATGTGATTGCGACTTGAGTTAAATCACATATATTTATATTCTACGTTGTACACACAATTAAAGGATCCAAATAGAAACTCTTGGAGCATCAGAAATTAATTGTTTATGGTATCTCAAAGTTATGGGCCTTTCAATAGTAACTGTCTTTTTTTTATTGAATTATTTTCTTTAGAAAAAGAACTGGACACTCCAACAAGTACCAGCTCTGAGTCAGAGGATACCTCAGACAGTGGCTCAATGGGAGATGGAGGGGAGGAGGGGGACATTATTCCAGAGAAATCTGTGGTGTACGCGGCACTGGAGGTGTGTCTGTGTGTGATATCTAGACAAATTCCAGCCCTCAACCCCTCAGCTCCCAGCACTGGGTTCCAGGTCCCAACAAGACTCACCAAAATGTCAGAGGAAAACTGTTCACTGGTAGCTTCCATAGTGCTTATTCTGGCAGACCTTCCTAATATGTGTTCCAAAAATGGTAAGAAATATGAAGCTATTTACAGGAATTTCGATAAAGTCTGAAAAAATTTGCTTTAAACTTTGCAATCCAAAAAATTATTAATTCTTGTAGTCAATCAGTTTGTAATTGAAGTCTTAAATTATATGTACATTGTAAGTTTTTAGGGTTGAATAATAAAGATTAGGTATAAATAGCCTACTTTAGCTTTAGAGTAGAAAAAAATTTGTTTCATTAAATATAGTGGGTTTGAGAAACTGTTCCTTTTGATTGATATATGGAAATGGCATTTACTCACAATGTTTAAATTCCAGGTTCCACTTCAGTCCTTCCTACAGTTCTTTTCCTCATAACTGGTGTTTTACGAGAGATGTCCAATAAAGGTGCCGAGAGGAAGTCCCCCGTCCTGGTACAGGCCTGTCTGACAGCCCTCCGTACTCTGTGCTCCTCCTCCTTTCTAGAGGATGAAGACGTAGGAAGTAAATGGAGGGAACTTCTCAGAAGTGCTCTAGTCACTGTGCTTCAAAATTCCAAGCCAAGTATGAAGTCTATCCTTTATGTAGCACCATTTATTAAAATTCTGTGCAATGTTTGGAAATAAAGACAAAATATTATGATCTATTGATATTCATCAACTTCTTAGAACAGCATGTGCATATAGGCCCACATGTATGGGAATACATGTACCTCCTCTTCTAATATTTTCAAAATCTGTTTGTTTCATTGTTGGAAGTACATGTATTATTATCTATGAATTTTCAATGATAAGCCATTAGCTCATGGAGAATTAAATTTTGTTTAAACTGTATTGGTGCAACAGTTGGAATTTTGTAGAGCTTCAGCTTATTCCCATACATATTTTAAGGTCCTTCATTTTCTGTAGGTGAAGACAAACCTGGTATGGATGAAGTGACTCTGCTTGCCACAGTGACAATGTTTTTAGTTTGGGGCCCGAAGGAGATAGCAAAGACTCCCTTTATTCAGAAGCAATGTGTCACGATGTTCAAGGATTGCTGGGAATCCAAAAGTCCAGAGGTACTTACCAAACAGAAATATAGATACATTGGTAATGCGGACATTAAAAATTATGGCTTATAATCAGAATACTGTAAACCAACTTTTCAGAAACAATATACGCAAGTTTCATAGCTTTCCTCAAGTCTTATATATTCTTCATGTGAATCATAATATTGTTTCAGTCATGAACATAAACAGTTATGGATGGATTCCATACTGATAAATTGTGAATAAAGTGAATAAAATTGTTGCAATTAATAGTTGGTTTAATTTTTTAGCTATATGAGTTTACATTTTGTTTCAGGTTCAGCTGAAGTGTTTACAAATGTTTACCTCTGTGATACAGAAGTTGGACACCAAAGATGCAACACCGTACATACGAGGGGTCGCTGCCAAGTTCTTAGAGTATTTACTGATATTAAAGGATGATAAATCTGGACTAGATTCCCAGCAGGCACTGGTGACTGCCTCTCTGAACTTCGCAGAAGTATTGGTAGCCAAGGCCGAAGATGACAAAAGTAAGAGAAAGCAACTGATCACTTACTGTTTCAAATATTCATCAGAGGTTATTTTCCTTTTTGAGGTGTGAAAAGATATATCCTTCATAAAATGTGATTTTTCAACAATTTTTCATGAAATTAAATCCCTACAAACCCATATTTTTTCTTCAAACCACAAAAGTTTGACTCCTCGAATAAGCGGAAATTTTAGCGAGACGCAAATTTAGCGATTTCTACCTAAAAACTTGCATTTTATTCTTAGCGAGAAGTAATTTTAGCAATTTTAAAATATTAACTAAAGAAACTATTACAAACAATACGCAAGTAATTTTTAGCGATGTCAGCACCCTCGCTAATAATGCCAAAATTAAAACCTCGCTAAAATTTCTACTTATACGGTATTTTACAGTATATATAGTAAGCAATACTTGTGTGTAATACATTGTATTTTTTTCTTTTAGGGATGACCCTGCTTTCTTTGTTACTTCCTGTGTTAGTATCTTTCCTGGTGGATGAGAAGAAATACTCCTCCGTCTCTAAACCTACCCAAGCAATCCATGACGACTGTTTACAAAGACTAGTCAAAATAGGGCCCCTATATCCAGAACAGTTTAAAAACATCATGATGTCACATGCTGACCTTAAGTTAAAGTTAGGACTAGCAATCAAACACAGCCAGACTCAGCTGTCCTCACAAAAGAAGAGAGAAGAGGCAGCGGCTAATCAACAGAAAATGAGCCAGCTGCCAGCCAAACCTACCATAGCATTGAAAACGAATTTCGGAAATTTTGCCGCAAGTTGACAGTGAGGCATTTCATTGTTGAATGAGCTGTGATAGTGCAATCTTTTTTTAAAATATATATACATATCCCAATATTTCCACTTTGGGATAACTGTTATATTTGTTATCAAGTGTGTTCATGGGAAGCGAGTGTTGAGTGAAGATTTTTATGTGTTTATTGAAAAGTACTTTAAATATTGTAGTTTCAAGGTTTCTGAAGCCATATTTTTTAATGTCTAAACAACTATTTATAAGGGTAAAATATTTATAATTTCGGAAAAAAGAATGAAATCTAAAGTTTTTCCTTGTATGAAAATATAAGGGTAAAATATTTATAATTTCGGAAAAAAGAATGAAATCTAAGTTTTTCCTTGTATGAAAATACAATCTTTTTCTTGTTCTAATCAACGTTTTATAAATGGCATTTAAGACTATTATCTGAATAATTTGTGTACTTTCTGTTACAAATATATAAACAGAGATATTTTTGCAGGCTATTTTAGTGAGTACTACTAAAGGCGTATTAATAAAATTACTCTATGCAGTGTTTTCAATAAGAGCCGGCAACCGGCAAAATTAACCGCCTGTACGAGAAATTTTGCCGGCTATGAAATTTCCGGCATTAGGATTTTGCCGGGGCTGATACGTGAAATCCATAGATTTCATCGCAACTATTTCCATGATCTAGAGTAGCTTCCCTTGAGTGCGCTCTTTTTTCAAGGAAGTTTGATTAGATCGATAGTGTCATGTAATATGGCGTCGCGGACAACGAATATTTGAGCGAAGTCGTGGAGAAACGTGCTGCTGCTGTAACACATGCGTTTGAGAACACATACATTAAGAGGCATAAAGTATGGTCCCTTCCGAAAAGATTTGTTTGTGTTTTATAATTTTCGATTTAAAATTGATTGTGCCACAGACTCAATATTAAGTGAGGGGTTCCCCGGTGAAACAACAGCAAATATCTATATCTAGTCCAATATAATTTTAAGACCTTACTAAAAAATGTATGAATTCTTACAGAATATACTCAAAATGAAAATATCAAATGTTAAGCTAAGACGTGACTCAGACGTAGAAATTCTTACAGAATATCATCAAACTGAAAATTGTATTCTCATTTATTCGTGTAAGATCTCTTGAAATACAGGGACAGTACCGTTTTCACATTTGGGAAGAATTTAATGTACTAGTATTTTGTATCAAATTCCATTTTCTTAATTACTTTATTCTGACAATCTGTACAAAATGTCAAAAAATTAAATCGGTTTAAAGATTATTTTATTAAAAGTCAAAGATTGCGGTTTATTTCAATTTTAAGGGGGTACTGTACATCACCAAGTGTTTAAAAAATCTTAAATTTTTAACTAAATAATTTTTTTTAAATATGAATAAAAGTTCTGAACGGACTGTGAAAGGGAAGAAATATGTGGAATTTTCAGTATAATATTTTACACATACAATTATTGTCTGTACTATAATTTCATACTTAAGTTGTCTATATGTTTTAATAGATACATAGTTTTCAGAAGAAAAAAATAACTCAGTCTGTCAAAAATCTGTCAAACAAATCGTTGAAAAGACAAAAATTGTTTTCTAATTGGCTTTTTTAAGGTAAAATTTGTGGAAAAAATAGTACTTTTTTAATGGCCTGAGAGGTAAGAAAAGTGAGTCCAAAATGCTGAATTTCGTTTTTGGCCGGGGGGGCTTCGCCCCCCTGGGCCCCCTACCAGGGCTCTGCCCTGGACCCGCTGGGGGCCTAAGGCGGCCCCCAGACCCCTCGCCAAGACTGATTTCCTGCTATTCCATCTATTTTTCCTTCTATTCAAAATCTTATTGAAAACACTGCTATGTTAAGTTTAATATTTTTATACTTGAGTAATAAATTTAAATGGAAAAAATGTTAGATCTGTAATCTTTAATATGATTGTTTTTTTAATCAGTGTTAATCACACACTGTATAAAATATACCAGTATTCAGAAAGAAGACAAAGATGTTTTTATATGTACATTCATGTAATTATGTTTTAAAATTCACTTTTCAGACATGTATTTGTGAACAAAATTTATTTTCCCTATGATAATTTTAACAAATATACCAAATACTGATTTTCTTTAAATTTCCAACAATCAAAGTTGGTATACAAATATATTCTTGCAAAAAATCAATTGCAATTTTTAAAAAAATAAAATTGGTATCAAATATCAAAACAATATAAAAATGTATTTTTCTTGTATTTCTTAGTGTCACTTTTAGAATAGCAACTCCCTAGAGGTTCCAGGCATTTTCCTACTTTTCTCCATCCTGGAATGGAAAACAAAATGAATTGATATCTAGAATAACCTCCTTGCGATTTTAAATTCAGTCAAAATTAATATTTGAATCATATTTTTAAAAGCAAATTAAGGAATATTTCCAACTTTTCCACATGTTTGTCCAGGAATTGGTACATGCTTTGGAAGTCGTACTCTTCTCCATCAAAGTCCACCCAGTGGTATGGGAACAGTTGAGTTACCCCTCTTGGTTTAAATCTGTTATTAACAAGAAAGGCCAATAAAATTTATATACATGTTTTGCATTAGATATATACAAAATTTCCTCTGATCATATAAAATATACTACCATATGCTAAAATTTTCTGAATCCATTGCTTTAACTAAAAGTTAACATTTACCCCCCCCCCCTTCCCCCTGACACAATCATCACATTTACATCATTTCATATGAAAGCAGGAAACTGATGTACTGTATGTAGATGCATAATTATTTCAAAATATTCAGTAGAACAACTTGCCTTACAAAGGGAGTCCACTCTACATCTAACTGATAGGGCATTTCTATCTCACTGACATCAACATGGAAAAAGTCTACATCTTCTTTTTGGAAATGATCGATTAACATTTGAAATTTTGGTTCTGTTGCCGCACAAAATCTACAACCTGTGTTGGATAGATAAAAATGTCATTAAAAGTAACAAGGATTTACACAAGCAGTAAAATGTTTTCTTTTATTAAATATATCATACTATTGCATATTTTGAAATACTCCAGTACATGTATATCGATTTTCAAACAACTAAACATTTGCCATCAGAAGTATAATTTTCATGACATACCTTTCCTACAGAAAATAGCAATTAGTTGATTCTTGTTTTCTATTACGTCATTTTGAAGTTCATCTAATGTTGCAATTTTAACGACTGTTTTAGGGGGCTCTTTTTCTTGGGATGGTTTTTCAACAGGCATTTTTATTTCCATGTACCGCTCTAACTTTGCGTATGATTTGTCTTCTCTGGAAATGAATTAATGAAAGAAAATTAAATTTTATTCAGGTTTTGCATAACTTAGAACAAATTAAATTTTATGCCAATAATGTATTTTTTTTTAACTAATGCTTTCAGAGATTTCCTACAAAACTTTTTACCCAGCATCTTCCTTTTCTTCAAATTTCAAAAACTTTTCATGACCATCTTCCGATTTTTTGAAATCAACTTTCTTTTTCTTTGGATGATCAAATGATTCTTTCTTGTTATCTTCCTTGGATTCAGGAGATGTATCTCTTTTTGATCTCTTGTGTTTTTGTTGTTTTTCCTCTCTTTTGGTGCGCGATCGACGTTGTTCATTGGTTCTCTTTGACGTTACGTCACGTTTTAGCCTTCGCACTTCTGGAACTTTGACTTGTGCTGTCACAGACTGAGAGAGAGGAGAAGGAATTCCGTGATGTGTTGGTTTCTGTAGATGTCTGACTTGCTTTGCTTCCTCTGTCTTTCCCAATCCATGATTTGGACATCCCCAGTTCGTCAGCATAGACGACTGAACCATAGTTCGCCATAATCCCGGTAATTTACCACAAATCTGCAAAAATTAATGTAAATGTAGATATACAAAATATATGTTTTATTAATATGTCATTATATTAAAAATTCTTGACAAATGTCTCGAAGCAAAGACAACTCTCTCTTTCTCTCTTGCTCTTTCGCCAATTTTAATGACTTCCGGTATGAAAAAAATGTTTTCGAATTGATTGCTAGAAAGCCTGTAATTTACACAAATTTCTATTCATTTTATTATAATAAAACATTATTTCCCCATTATATGCAATACTTGTAATGCAAGCAACTGACCATGACTGACACCGTATCAGAACTGGCTGCAACATCTTGACCAAAGCAGACTACGCCGTATTGCCCTGACGTCATTTTGTCGGAAATCACGAACATGTTATTGCTAGGAACTATGTTAGTTGGGTCCGAATTAGCAACACCAGTAAACTCAAACAAAGCATTTGATTGCTGGTTGTAACAGAAGCGACTACCACCCTGCAAAATCCCTCTTGGTCTTGTGTAAACTTGAATAGCTTCGACGTTTTTCGTCGCAAACTGATACATACATCGATAACGTTTTGCTTCTTTCGTTGCTGTCAAACATTCCTGAAGAATGAATAAATAAATAATAGTATAAGCTTAGTCAAAATAATTATATACAAGCAACATGTTAGTCCTAAAGTTATTTTTTCTGCTGAAAAATGCAAAGGGCAGGGATTGCATATTACATGATATTCTACGTATAAATGTACAAAAGATGTACAGTGTATTTATTGATTATATTGGAAAATGATTGTAATGGAACAGTATTTGTAGGCCTGTAAATTGTATATTTTTAGAATTATAAGTACCATGTACGTATTGGCAGAAGCCAATAATGAGAATGGGTGATTCCTTTCTTTGATTTCGGTGAAGTAATCTTCGAGTTTCATATCAGTCAGCTCTTTGTGGTAAATAAAGGGATTCCCCGCTAAGACACTTTTCACTGCGTCCAATAAGCTTTCTCGATTTTCTGTCAACAGAATTTAGACTTTGAGAAAATATAGCTCTAAAATACATATAGTATTAAACTCTGTCCTCGTAAATATAAACTTGCTTCACGAGATTTCTTTTTCTTTTTTTTTTCTTCTTTTTTCTTTTTGAAGACTTTTATTTATACTGCAAATTCGGGTAATCCACTGACATACAAATGCACACATATAATTTAAAAATTTTGAAATGCGCTACTTTCTGCATATTAGTTCGTCACAAGAACGATCAATTTGGTCCTTTTTTCTTCCCTACGCTAATAATTTAATTTCATTTGTAACATGTCATTTGATTGGATAAAAGATTTTATCCATTTTGTATAACATAACTTGCCTACGTCACAATGAGTTACGTCAAAAAACGTATTACTCCGCTTGACGTTACTTTTAAAATTTAATCAATGTAAAGCCTTATTCTGGGGGAAAAATTGTCTCGTTGTCTGCATTGAAATTAAATTATAAGGAATGAAGCTTATTTCAACTTATATTATACGATATAACAAAACTTGGGGCAGTTTACGCTTTTTTATAAACCGCTTCGCGGTTTATAAAGCGTAAACTGCCCCAAGTTATGTTATATCGTATAATATAAGTTGAAATAAGCTTCATTCCTTAATAAACTACACTTTTATTTTAGGTCAAAAATTTAAGTATAAGCACAAAATAATATACATGTATTATGACGAACCACTGTGTACTGTGATGAGAGCAATTACAGGAGGGTATTCACGTATTGGTTGACATAGTCTCCCACAACACTGAAACAACAGGACTCACGAGTCTCACAGACAGACATACCTAGTGACATACACACGTAGAAGAGATCTTCACTGCTGTCTCCAATGGTTCTGCTTTTCCAGGAATAAGAGGTTGGAGGTTGTAGTTGGCGATTACTAAACGCAGGAAAAAGAAAATTGTTATGCAAAATCCAGAATCCCTTTTCACTGCTTTTGTCACTTGCTAAAATGCCCTGCAAGTAAACAATTGAAAAATTAGCAAGATACAAAAGCCCTACTCCTAACTGTTCAAAAGCTATGACCAATGTTATTTTTTTTTAAAAGTGGGTCAAACTCTAAGATCAAGGTCAAAAGGTAAAAAATATTTATACCCACTGAAAGGTCTTGTCATAAAGAATACATTTGTGAAGTATGAAAGCCCCAGCACCAACTGTTCAAAGGTACTGGCCAGGGTTTAGTGTGGTGATTTTTTGTGAAAGTGGGTCAAACTAAAAGGTCAAGATCTAAGAGGTCAAATTTGGTGGTACCCAAAGAAGGGTTTTGTCACACGAAATACACCTGTGAAATAATGAATACCATAGCCCCACCCACTCAAAAGATTTGGGTAATGTTTAAGTTTTGGCGGAGAAACAGACAGACAGACGGATGAACAGGAAAACTATATGTATCCCCGAATCTTCCATTGCGGACGCAGAAGAATACTAGTAAAATGGAAATCAATGTTAGAATGAACTTTAAAATTAACCACCGACAAATGAACAAAAATTAAATATGTAACCTGCATCCATTTGCCGTAGGTTGGAAATCTGAGCGTCTTCGCTACTCTCATGACGTTTATCAGATCGTAGGAATACGTAAAATATTGAGGAAAGACGTCATTCATAATCAGCTCTACTGCTCTGGCCAAAGCACTGTCCGGATTTTCTGGTCTGTGAAACTACAGAAAAGTATATATTTATTAGATGCTAAAAAGTTCTTGTACACATGTATTTAAAATTGTTGCATTGAAAAGTTGACAACAGCCTCTAAGCTTCTAATGATGAGATGAGAGACAGAGAGAGAGAGAGAGGGAGAGATTTATCTCATGTTCCTTTGGAACCTTGGACTAATATTGTGGCGTTGTTAATGTTGTTTTACAGGGCAACTTCTTTCAGATAGCCTACCAAATTTTATTCATACTATACTACATTACCCTTATTTAACTTAACTGTATCAAAAGGGGGGGGGGGGGCAACCGGCCCTTCAAGCAACATTTTCAATAGTAAAAGTCATGCTTGAAAGAAGAGGGGGCAACCCCCCCCCCCCCCCCCCGTTGCTACGTGTCTGTCGTTAACATTCCATAACCTAAGCCTAGATGCCCCTTCACTAGAAAAATTACTATCCCCCCTTTTTAATCGGTGAGATGTATCGGAAGTAACAAATATGTTCAAACAAATACTAGTACTAGTTATTGATAGTTTTTTCTAATATATAGAAGATGACGATTTTGGTTCTGAAAGAATAATTATTGGGTAAAGGAAGCAATTTTGTGTATTTCTCAATAGTCAGTTATGCATGTAGGAGTACATGTGAAAGTGATATTTGCTGCAATGTGAGTTTAGAATTAATTTGATATCGTCTCAATGAATGGGAGTTTAACATCAGTATAGTGTGTAAGAGTGCACTTAAGCATTTAAAGCTAAAAATGCTGCTAAAATGCTCTTCTAAATAACTTCTGCAAAATCCATTTAAACAGTTAAAGGCATCATTCAATTTTAAGATAGACTGACCCTCTGAAAAGGCAGATAATTCTTAGTTTGATGAAAAAATGAACTTATAAAAGGTTATTTCATGTAGGTTTTATAGAGGCTGCGAATGTGTCATTTAACCGCTTTTTTTTTTTTGGTATCAGTTTGGAAAAACTGAAGTATCTTTGCTTCAATTATCTTTGATTATTCGTGTTACAGGAAAGAAAAATAAAGAATTGAGTTGCTTACCGAAACATCCGAGTTACTCGTACTATCTACATAAAAATGAAAGAACGGCATAGATCGTTGTTGGTAAATGATCCACCAGTCTACCAAGGTCCCATTCTTACTGGGGCAAATCCCGTGACCCCCGGGCAGGCCAATTACCAGGATTGTCACTGCTACACACACAATCATATTTACTGCATTATTGAGAAAACGTTTTAAACAGGGACGGATGTTCAACCACGTAAATAAAATTGCGGAAGAAATACCCTTAGATGGATTGTTTATTTTCAGATGCTTCGTTCGAAAAACTATTGGTTTATTAAGTGTAGGGATTTAGACATGATAACGGATTTATTATCTGCATTAAGTATTAATTTCCGTGCTGATATATATTGTTATACATAGCTTTGACGTGTACTGGAGTTCAAGTGAGCTTAGTTATGGTCAACAATACTTTCTATATTGTTAAATTGTTGTCATTTGTCCTCATTGATGTAAATATACCGGTATATGTATAGAAACTATTTAACTGACTTTCATGCCAGGCAATGGAGGGGACATAAAGATAGATTGGAAAAGGAAGTAAGACTGAGTTTTGAAAAAGGGGGGGGGAGTTATCCTCCTTTGAAGATCAGCTTGAGTTTCTATTCAGCATTAAAGAGAGTAAGGGGGGAGGGGTGATGTGAAAGAAGATAAAAACAACTGGTTAAGGAGCCACCTTGAGACTCCTGTCCATGCATTATTCCATGGGAAACACGGGTAAGAGGTAGCCGGGCCAATATCCTCAGAACCTGGTGAATCTTTAACTTATTAAATTTCAGTCTGACATGCAGTTGTTTGAATGCACAAAATAGGGGATTTAAAATTAAAATACACGCTCATAGAAATTGACGATTTATTCAGTCTTATTAAAGAACAGGGAATTTACAAAATACCGAAATTAAACAATGTTATTGAAATCCCTGTAGTATAAACTTATCTGTCAATAGCATGCTTATGTTTTCAAATTTGAACACGCACCTTTCTCCATCATCGCAATGCCAGGGGTTCTGAATCAACACGTTGCCGTTTACGTCAACATGTTGACTCAGGACCCCTGGCATTTGCGAGGATGACCTTTCTCATGCCTTATTTTAATGTTTTATAAAAGGCATCAAAACGTTTTTTTTTTTTTTTTTTTTTTTTTTTACAATTTCTTTTATGATTTTTCGAGGTTTTTAGAAATCGTCAGAATCTTGGAGCATATAGGGGCAAAGTTCCTTGAAGCTACTGGGGGCCTCAAGGCGATAACCACACCCCCTGCCACTTGCGCAAAACCACGGCAGATAGCAAGTGTTCAACAATACGAAACACATCAAGTACGAGTTGTTTTGTACCTATTCCCCGAGTGCAACATCCGGTGCCGAAGTGAAAGCATGAGTTTCCACAAATATCATGAAAAGGTCCAAGAAGGTGATACTGTCATACTCTACCTTGGATATGAAAATATGCACGCAATTCAAATTAAACGTGGAGCAGTTTTTCAAACGAAATATGGGGCGTTAAAGCACAATGACATTATAGGGACGATCTTTGGCAGCCGAGTGCATTGTCCCAAGGGATATCTCTATTTGTTATATCCAACCCCTGAGTTGTGGACCTCTAACTTACCTCACAGAACTCAGATCCTCTACTCAACAGACATCAGTGTGGTTTCCCTCCAACTAGACCTCAAACCTGGAGCAGTTGTTGTTGAATCAGGTACAACTACAAAGTTATTATCAGGTTGTCTATGGAAGAAATGGGAATATCCTACATCTAATTTCCAGTCCTAGTTTTCTTCATGAACCCTTTTATGTTTAAATAAAAACTGTGACAGAACTGTCCTATCACCTGTAAATGAGTAATGACACTGGGGCTAATAGAGATGAAGCAAGTTTTACAGGATGTATATGTGGTTCTAAGGGAGCTAGCTTCAAATGAATGAATTATTAACCAAATTTTTCCAAAATATCCTTTGGAAAATGCAAATTAATTGTTTGATGAATGTTGAATATTAATACACAATTTAAATATCATTTCTTTTCAGGCACAGGAAGTGCCTCCCTTTCTCATGCCATCATCAGGTCCATCTTACCAGATGGTCATCTCTATACATTTGAGTTTCACAAAGAAAGAGCACAGAAAGCAGAGGAAGAGTTTAAGGACCATGGCCTCTCTGAATATGTCACAGTGACACATAAAGATGTCTGTCAGTTTGGCTTTGATCTGGAGGATGTTGCAGATGCTGTGTTTCTGGATTTACCAGTTCCATGGGATGCTCTACCGAGTGCCAAGAAAGCTCTGAAGAAGCAAGGTTAGTTTAATAATACACATTTTTCATAATCTTATAGATATTAGAAATGCAATAACTTTTGATTGACAAAAGGCAGTTTCAACAGAATCAGACTATACCTGAATTGTAACATCTAGTTCTTGTGAATATAAGTAAATACAGTGTTGAGTGTAGACAAGGAAAACAAGAAATTTTTTTACTTCTATACTGAGGCTTCTGGATTAGGAAAATAATATTTTTTACATCACTTAAAAGTTTCTACTGAAAGTTGCTCAGCTAAAATAAGTTTAATTTTAAAATAATTTAGTTTTTTAGAAAGTACACTTTATTTAAAAAAAAAAAAAAAGTAACATGATTTTTTATATTACAATCTTTTATTTTTAAATGTATACACTCTAGGTGGAAGAATCTGCTCCTTCTCCCCTTGTATAGAACAAGTCCAAAAGACCTGTGCTTGTCTAGATGAGTTAGGATTTGAGGAAATTTCAACAATGGAGTGTCTAGTAAGGAATTATGATGCGAGAACAATTAATCTGCCCAACCCTGAATTTTCTAAAGAAAAATCAAAGTCACAACCTACAGATACAAGAAAAATGGAACAGGAGGATATGGACACAGATTCCCCCAAGGGAGATGACTCTGTAAAGTGTGAGGAATCCGGTGACACTAACAGCAAAGCATGTGACGTAAAAGATAAAAAACAGTCTGGGGATGTTTTAGATGTGCCATCTTGGGATTACATTGGAAGAAAAAGTGATGCTAATTTCACATTCAAGTCTGGAATTTCCTTAGGAAGAATGCCAGGTCATACTGGATATTTAACTTTTGCCACACTCTATCCATTATAGCAATGTCATTCATTTGTTATAAAATCTTCTGTTTATTTAGATTTTATATATATATATATATATATATATATATATATATATATATATATATATATATATATATATATATATATATTGTTATGGGTCAGAATAACCCTAAATGCCAGCAAAGATCAATCACACAGTTTAAACTTAACAATAATTTATTTACAGTAATATACAAATCATTAAGTACAAACTTAGCAAAAATCTAAAAAAACATACATCAGAGTGTCCGTTGCTGCACACAATGTCCCAGTGAAATTATATCCCAGTAATACCTCAGTGATGCTTGTACGACAATTGTGTCTATGCATCGAATTGACAGGATATTTATACAGTAACATAAATCTAGAATATTCTAGAAGTTGTAAGTACATGATATTACTGGAAAGTTCTGGACATACACAAAGTTCAAGAATGTTCTAGAAAAAATGACTAAACATATGGACCACTCTGGAATGTTCAAGAAACTTAATGTTACTAATAATATACATGATGAAATAATACAAATACAACACACCTCACAACACCTCCCCCCTTAAAAAGTTTGAATGTCAATGAAAACTTACATTGTTAAAATGAGATATATGTACATTAATACAAAATCTAATTTGTTCATGATACTCTGGACAAGGCATCTGCAATAACATTGTCTTTGCCTTTGATATGCTTAATTGTTATGTTGTATTCTTGTAACAACAAACTCCATCTAGTCAGTCTTTGATTTTTGTTTGACAATTTATGCAAAAATGTCAGGGGGTTGTGATCAGTATATACAAGAATTGGATGCAATGTAACATTCAGATAAACATCAAAATGCTGTACGGCTAACAACAATGCAAGGCATTCCTTTTCAATGGTGGAATACTTTTGTTGACATTTTGTAAGTTTCTTTGAAAAATAAGAAACAACTCTATCTACATTATCACTATGTTCTTGAAACAAAGCTGCCCCGATTCCAACATCACTAGCGTCAACAGTAAGCTTAAATTGCTTAGAAAAATCTGGAGTTGACAGAACTGGATTGCTCATAAGGACAGATTTGATTTTATGAAAGGATTTTTCACAGTCCTTTGTCCATTCAAAATTAACCCTCTTTTGTAAAAGATTTGTAAGTGGACTTACAACTGAGGAAAAATTTGGACAAAATTTTCTGTAAAACCTAGCCATGCCCAAAAACCTCATTAACTCTTTCTTGTTTGTAGGAATCGGGAACTTTGCAATAGTTTCCACTTTAGCCATAATGGGTGTAACATAACCTTGCCCTACTTTATGACCTAAATACTCTACATAGGCATGACAAAATTCGCTCTTCTCAAGGTTCACAGTTAAGTTTGCTTTAGCTAAAATGTCAAACAAAGCACGCATGATTCGGAGATGTTCGTCCCATGTGTCGCTGTATATGATGACATCATCAATGTAGGCCTCGCATCCCTCAAGGTCTTGAAGAAGGGAGTGAATCATCCTTTGGAATGTAGCCGGTGCGTTTTCATGCCAAAAGGCATTACTTTATACTGATAAAGTCCATCTGGTGTAGCAAAAGCAGATATTTCTTTTGCTCTTTCTGTTAACGGTACTTGCCAGTAGCCTTTCAACAGGTCAAATTTACTGACAAATTTCGCGTTTCCAATTTTGTCAATACAGTCATCGATTCTAGGTATTGGATATGAATCAGTTTTGGTAACAGAATTCACCTTTCTAAAGTCTGTACATAATCGGTAGGTACCGTCCTGTTTTGGTACAAGAATACATGGTGAGCTCCAGTTACTTTTACTAGGTTCAACAATGTCATTGTCCAACATGTACTGCACTTCCCTTCTTAGGTACTGCAATTTTATTGGATTAAGACGGTACGGATGTTGTTTGATAGGCAGAGCGTCACCCACTATGACATCATGACAAGCTGCATTAGTTTTCTTTGGAACATCCGAAAAGATGTGATGATACTCACTCGTCAAGTTTTTAACTTGTTCCTTTTGGTGAATGTTCAAATGTCCAAGTTTGGCATCCAAATTAGCCAAAACTT